GGGTGAAAACAATAACTTCTCGATTTTTGAAAATCTGAGATTTTTAGCGGAAAGTTAAAAAAAGAGAAAAATTATTAACCAATTGTTAGTTACTTCAAGTTATTATTCGCTTGACGGTCAAGGTAATTATAACTATTAGTAGTGTTAATTTATAATTATACATGAATAATGATATCGAAATAGAGATAGAAGAAATAACGATGAAAACACAAATATCCGTTGAAAAAACTCAGCTTTACTGGGATTCGAAACCACGACCTCTCGATAACGAAGCAAGACTGGATCCCCTCTGCTACTCGAAGACTTGTCATGTGGCAGAAACATTTTTTTCTATTTAAGCTACAACTGACAAAATTAAAATTACCTCATGTGATTAAATATTATTATTATTATTTCTTTTGTCATGGTAATTGTTTTTGTCATCATTATTATTAATTTTACAACACTTAAGTACTTTAAGTAAAAAATTTTGTCGCGAAAATTACCTAAATTTTTTGATTCTTGAAACTACATGAATACTCACTTTTTAAAATAAGTTGTTATAAATACATTTAAATATATTTTGATTATTTTTGTGTGCTGTTTTATAAAAGCTGAAAGTGTAACTCTAAAATTGTATATCTTTTTAGTTCTGCAAAAATAAAAAGACATATAAAGAAAGTTTATTTTTATCAATCAGCTTAGAAATATTTGCGATAAAAATTTCTATTAACTTATATATAACTCACGAGCGATTCAACCGATTTTGACCGGACTGGCGGCAATCGACGTGGTCGTTTGATGTTAAGAGCTGACTAGTTTTTGAAAAAGATCGATAAAGCCGTTTGAAAGTTATTCCAAAATAACCAAATTTGAAAAATTTTTTTTTTGTAGTTTTTTCGACCCTGATTAAAAAAAAGTATTGAACCCCCGAGAAAAAATATTTATCTATAATTATATATATTTATATATAAATTGGTTATATATGATTATATATGAAAAATGGCCAAATATAATCATATCTAATTATATATAATTATGTATAATTATATATAACTATATATAATTATATATAACGATATTTAATTATAGATTTATTACATCTAATTAATTATTGGGTTAATTTTATGGATAGAGTATTTAATATGGTCCTACGCAATTCTGTGTAACCGATCAAAATGCAAAAAAAATATCTAGATCTAATTTTATGGCTATAACACCAGTGGTCACCCATCCAACTATTAACCTTGCTCAATGCTGCTTAACTTTGGTGATCTCCGTGCGTCTTGAAGTTTCTGTCTGCTGTGCTGCTGTCTTAGACAATAATGATTCTATGATCTACTTAATGTATCATATGAGTTTATCATAAATATAATATAAAAATTGATTTTATAATATATTTGGATAGTCATAATTCATAATTTATTTATCTTACCGAATTTCATTATAATATAACACTTATTTAAATAATAAAATAAATAATGATCTTACTATTACGTAGTAGCAGAACAGACAAAACATCTCATAGGAAATGTGACAAATTTTGTATTTCAGAATTATTTAAACGTAATTATAAACATCATTTTACACTTTTTGTGATTACCAAAAAAAATTTTTTTTTCAAAGAAAAAATTTTTATGTATGTTAATTATATATAAGCATATATAATTATATATGGGACTATGGACAATCTTGCATAGCTAAATATTGCTCCATATATAGTCATATATAATTATATATAATCATATGATTATATATGACTTCATATACAATTCCATATATAATCATGTATGATTATATATAACTATATATAATTATATATAATCTTGCTTGGCTGTATATTGCTCTATATATAGTCATATATAATTATATATGATTATATATAACCTTATATACAATTCCATGTATAATCATGTATGATTATATATAATTTTATATACTTATATATATTTGTATATGGAACTATATATAATCCTGCATGGTTGTATATCGCTCCATATATAGTCATATATAATTATATATGATTATATATAACCTCATACCCAATTCCATATATAATCATGTATGATTATATATAATTATATTATATATGATTATATATAATTCTATATAATTATATATGTGATTCCATATATAATCATATATGATTATATACAATTATATATAATCATATATGATTATATACAATTATATATGATTATATAGAAACATTTTTTCTCGGGCCTATGCAACTGTATATCTATATTGTATGTATATATAGATATACAGTGTGTGTAATTCAATACTTTTTTTTAATCAGGGGAGATTTCTCAAAATCTATCGGTCTGAAACGGTCCAAAGTGTATTCAAAATCTAAGTTTGGTCAGCCCTTTCGAATGGTCCCAACCACGATGAAACCAGTCAATCCGTTCAAAAGTTATAAAAGGGTTACATACATACACACATACACATACACACACCCACACACACACACACACACACACACACACACACACACACACACACACACACACACACACACACACCTGCGGCAGAGGAGAAACTGCTACCAGGCGCGTCTCCCCGTAGCGGATGGGTTGACACTCGCTGTCCTTGGATGACACTTGGATAATCTCCTAGTTGATAAGGTACAGAGGGTAGGAGTTAAATAAAATACGCTCCCGTGGACAAAACTCCCCTTTAATGGGCTGGTCACACTAACTGACCTAACAAGACGAGGGTAGCGTTGTTCGCGTCCGTAGGTACTGCTTTAACACCCTACACGTGCTCTCCGGGTAGTGCTAAATGAACAACACTCGGAGCTGAAGAGTAACAGCCACCGTCCGTGTATCCTTGTGGGTCGGAGAAAGCTCGCTGTTCTTCGGAGCAAAGAGTAGGAGCGAATAAAATAGCTCTCGCGGTAAAAAACAAAAACTCCCCTTTCGGCAGGAAGGGTTGGTCACACCATCAGACCTAGGGTCACGTACGCAAGCGGATATGGTGACGCTGCTCGAAAGAGATGTGCGAAATGATCCTTACAGCGCGGCGTACGTGGTAACTCCCGGCATCTACGTGCCGCACCCACGGGAGCAAGAGGAAGCCGATGAAGGAAGCAGGTGCAGGGTCGAAGCGGTTGAGATTTCCCGTTTCAATGACCGAAAGCTCTTATAGCAATGGAGGTAGCTGTAAGAGTGATCACCCCTCCACTTCTGAAGGCATCGCGTTCGGAGACGACCTTTTGCTTTGGAGTATCAATAAAGATCATGGAAGAAACGAAAAATCAAGAAGAGGACAGGAGTATTAGTGGGCCCCACGCCCAAGAAGCAGCGATTACAGCAAGCGCTGAGATGAAGCGGACGCAAGCGCTGGAACGCCTTGAAAAGCTGATCAGTGAGCTGAATGATTTCGTCCAACCAAAGGTCAATATCCATAAAGAGATAAAGACCAAGGCAACCGGGGTAGTTAACGCCCTTCAAAGGTTTAAAAAACAAATTATTCGCACACCCCTAATAATTATAAAGTTGCTTATTAATTTTATTTTATTTAATTTATAGAGAAGAGGTATTAAAGAAAACTTGGAACAAACTTTAGAATTACCAGAAGAAGTAGCTGCTCCTGTGGCTGCTGCTGACGAAGAAGTAGTTGTGGATGCCGTCGACGCAGCACCAATGGCCTTAGCAAATCGTGATCTTGATGCTCCTCGTGACTTTGTCGTTGGTCCTCAACAGATTTTAGGCCTTGACCATGCTATTGTACAGAGTATAGATCGTTGTCGTAAGTTTCTTATTTTAATTTAGATAATAATTAAAAAAAACATTTTTTTTAATTAATTACAATGTTTTTTTTTTTTTTTTTATAGCTACGGAAGAATTAAAACGCAAAATGTACAGTTGCATTTTGATAGTTGGATCTGGAATGAAATTCCAGGGAATCGGTATGTGGCTTCACAATAGAATATCGCTGCAAATTCCTTTTATGTACAGAGCTGGTGAGTACTAAAGTATTTAAGCTGCATTCGAATTGACAATTTTAAAGATATAAGCTCATCCCGATGATACACTCATCGAGACCTTTCATTTGAGTACCCACATCAATTTTTCATATATTTATATATATTATATATATGTATATATGAAAAATATATCAAAAATGCATGTGGGTACTCAAATGAAAGCTCTTGATGAGTGTAACATCAGGATTAGCTTATATCTTTAAAAAAGTCAATAGTTAAAGAAATACATTGCAATTTAATAAAAGTCATTATTTAATAAAGCAAAATTTGAAAAAGCAAGGTTGCTAGTTTTTTTTTCAACAAACAAATTTGATCAAAAAAATTACATTTTTCTATCTTTCTTTACAATAATTTATTTGTCATAAAAATTCTTAAATATCTAGTAAATTAATTCTCATCATTTTTAACAATGAAAAATAAAATTTTCAGAGCAATTGGATATTATAACGCAACCAAAAGAAATGGATTCAGGAATGACCACGTGGAAAGGTGCTGCAATTTTAAGTTGCCTAGAATCAGCTCAAGAACTCTGGATCGTCCGTTCAGAATGGGAAGTAATGGGAGTTCGTGTACTACGCGAAAGAGCTCCATTTATGTGGTGAATAAATTAATACATAAATTAATTATTTTATAAAAATGACTAACAGCAATAATTTTTTTATATTTATAACGTAATAAAAAAAAAATAAAAGTGTTTTGAAATATTTTATTGTTTCAATTAATTCTGCCAAGGTAACATTATATACCTTAAATAATTTTAGAGATATATTTGTAAGAACAAAAACTAAAATATCGACATTTTTAATAATAAAATAACAAATTAAATTAGTGTAGAGCTGAAGTTAATTCCGAACAAATGAGATTTAACGTTGATTTAATATGATTACTAGGCCAGTACTCGGTACTGCGGCTTCTTATTCTCCTAAAGAATAACGAAGCACAGTTTTTTTCCACCTGTCAATCGGTCATCAGTTATTAAAAAAAAAAAATACATAAAGTTGAGAATAAACTCAAAAATACGTGAGTAAAAATGGGCAAAGACGACGCGGAGACAACCGCATTAAAAAAGGAGCTGGATGACTTAATAAAAAAATGCCAGGTATTTCTTCTTTTTTTTTTTTTTTTTTAATTAAAATTGCACCTAATAACATTTTTTTTTTATTTTTTTAATACAGGAAGATCAAAAGAAGCAACAAGACACCACGTTGGAAGAAGCTTGCTCTTCAGTGGCAGATGCTCCGAAAATAAAACTATCCACGAAGAAACTTCTTAAAGGACACATAAACAAAGTTAACTCGGTGCATTACAGTGGTGACAGCAGGTCTTTGTCTAAAATTTATAAATTAATATAAATGATAATTGATAATTAATATTTATTTAATTAGTTAATTTATTTATTTAATTAATATTAATTATAGCCATTAAAAAAGTAATTTAATTAATTATGTAAATTATTTTCAGACACTGTGTGACTGGATCATTAGACGGAAAATTGATCATCTGGGACTCATGGACCGGCAACAAAGTCCAAGTAATTCCTCTACGTTCGGCCTGGGTAATGTCTGTCGCATTTGCACCCTCTGGGAATTTTGTTGCTTGTGGAGGGATGGATAATATGTGTACTGTCTATGACGTAAACAATCGTGATGCAACTGGGTCAGCTAAAATTACCCGGGAGTTATTGGGTTACGAGGGTTTCTTATCTTCATGCAGATTCTTGGATGACCAGAAAATAATTACTGGCTCTGGAGATATGAAAATGTATTTAATTTATTATATTATTATTATTATTTATAAAATTTTTAAGATAATAATAATTTTGAATTATCTTGTGAACTATTGACATTTTTAAAGATATAAGCTCAT